GTTGATGTATATATGGAGTAAGGTGTCTATATGGATTCCACCATGAAGTAGTAACCCTTTTCGATCTTTCGTTCTATTGATATAGGATGTTCTTACGTTTGAGTAGGCCACTTGTATTTGTTAAAGTATTATTTACCTCATTAGTTATTTACAAAACACGAAGTTTGGTCTTCGCTTCGGAAAAACCGCTACCAATTGTCATCAACACATGGCCGTTCACAAACGCCACAGAGAAAGGTAAAGTTCGTGAAGATTTATCAGAATATGACAAGGTTTATTTGCCTAAACAGAAATTCAACAATGGGTCATATTTATCTTACTGAAATTTTCAAATTCAGTTCGCAACACTTCACTATTAACGAGGATTTAGGCTTCTAGCACACCTCCTGGTTGCACTCAGAAAGCCGATGTATAATTATGCACCTATCAAAGTTAATCCCGCTTGGGGGGGGGGGGATTGATCGAAAACTACAGACTTTTGTCAAAATCTCGAGGCCCGGGAGTAGGGAAGCAAACGATCAAATTAGAGAATATTTTACTGACGTTCTCATGCATGCATATCAAATATAAATTGAACTTCATTTTAGTATATTGCTTCTTAGTTTTCAAAAGGATCAAAATTAATCAACAGCATCACTACATATAAACATATTGGAAAACAGACAGAACACTGCCATTGTACTGGTGCTTCTTCTGCGTTGTAGATGCCTATACAAATCATATGGTGCCTATAGTGACAACTGTCACAACATATCCAATCAATAGGCTCTTCTTGACCATCCGGTTCTTCCTTTTGACAAGTGGTGCAAATATCAGTTGACACGAGTTKGAATCCCATTTTCTTGTCTTTCTTTGCTTGAGATTGCACTTTTTTTGCCTCTCTTGTTTTTTTTTAGCTTTCTGCACTCCTTGTTTACGGTTTTCACGGACATTGGCAATGTTGACAACCGTGTTGTCACCGTGCATTCAACTGGAGCTCAGTCTCTTCACGGCCAGACGCTCGAGACACACAAAACGATCATATGCCCAACTGTAGGATCCACTAACAATTTCAAATCCCTGCCATTGGATTTGCTTTGATAGGTGCATTATAACTTCCTCTTGAATCCACTTATATTTTATGTTGAATTATTCTAGTATTGATAAGGCTGTTGAGTAACCAATGATTTTTCAAATTCAGCATGGAATTTAACGAAATACCAAGTAAGTTTATAAGCAAGTATATTTTGCGATTTAACAATAATTGTGGTTGCTACATAGCATGGCAGGTCATAAACAATGAGGGTTCTTCATCCCTGGATGCTGTGGAAGCTGGATGTACTACATGTGAAGTAGAGCAGTGTGATGGTACAGTAGGGTATGGAGGAAGGTAATTGCATTACATGTCCTTTTCCATTCAGAATTTTGATAAACTGAACTACAAGAACTAAATTGATTATAGTATTCATGAAAATGTTATTACTTTTTAAATTTAATACTGATGATGATTGAAAACCAACTGGTGATTTTGTCAATCAGCAATAGTTAATTAAACTTCATTCAGCTACACCTTGCAGGCATCCATGTAAGTCTGTCAACTCTGTGGAAGTAGCTCAAATTYCAGTACAGGTTTCTGACATACTTTTGGAGCCTAATCCTCCATGAGCTTTGCAGTACCCAAAAAAACTAAATGTAGGATCATATTTCTTAGCGGTTTAGAATATTGAAAAACACTTATTGGCAATTATAAGCCCAATATTTCTAAATTTTGCTGCATTTCAGTCCTAGTGAAGATGGTGAAACTACATTAGATGCAATGATTATGGATGGGTGAGTTTTATTGTTTTAAATTATTGAAATCAGTCTATAATTTAGATGGGTATCATTAATGAAAAAATGAAATTATTACAAAGTTTAATCAAGAATAGGGATCAGTATCTTAGGTTTTTATCAAATTCACTTGATCAATAATATTTAATCTACAGCCCTTTTCTCCATGTCTAAGTTTTACAAAATGTATCTAAAACAAAATAAATTTAGTGGTGTAAATGTCTGGCTTGAATGAGAAACATTACTTACTCAAGAGAGAACAAGCATGTACCATGAAAAAGAAAGGTCTGTTGTATAACTAAAAAATGTTTATTAAATATTTTTATCATCAATCTGGATACTTGTTGCTTTATAGAGTGACTCATGATGTGGGAGCWGTTGGCTGCTTGAAGAGGGTCAAAAGTGCTATTAGTGTAGCTAGAAGTGTCATGGAACACAGCAAAGAAACATTTCTTGTTGGAGAAGATGGTAAGAAGCTAACTTTTTTATGTATCATTTGCTCAATGTAATTTGTTTTTGTTTTGCCATATTACTATTACCACATTGTCACATCTAACACATCTAACATTGAGTTTAGTTTATGAGCATTTCATACTCTGAATTTACTGTAAAATAAACGTAATCCAATGTCAATAGCCGACTTTCRAATTTCACATCCCCCCTCAATAGTAACACACAAAGCAATTGAGATGAAGCATCATGCACAAAGCTCACTCAGTTGTGAAAAGACATAGTTTTTTTTCTATTGACTAAGCTGTGTGCATTGCATCTCATCTTCATTCTTTTGTGTGTGACTATTGAGG